CATAATTCTGCATATTTCACACAAAGGAATGAGTTAGCTACGCTCACACTCGGTGATCAGACATGCATATCATAGTATTCCAAGAAAAACTCAAGAATATAACAACCCGAACAGTTCATGCAATATTTCACAGGCTCTTCTAGAGAAACTGCTCTGATACCATAAATGTAACATCCCCGTCTCGAGCCGGTTCAATTAACATACATATGATAAAACAGAAAACAGCGGAAGACTTAACTTACGAAAATATGAGCTAACTTTTTCTTTTTCTAACTTAATTCTTTCTCGGCGTAAACGAAAATCGGGCAGAGTTTCCTCTATAAATCGGACAACTGGGGATTTTCCAATCCCACTCAGAAGCATTTCCTGATAAACAGTTTATACAACATATCAATTCGGAAATACCAGATATCCAAATATAATCGAATACCCATACATGGGCGCATGCATAACATGGCTCCGTGCCGCTAAATCTAACAGCATGCCATCAAAACATAAACCTATCTGAATACTACATCATCATATAACGTTCCTGAATACTCAAATGTACATGCATCAAACTGACAGACATGTACAAAACATATACAGGCCATATACAAAATAAAGGATCAATATCATGATCCATCAAATGCGAAAATACTAAAATACATCAAACACTCCAAAAAGGTAGCAGCCTACAGCCACTCAAAATCCGGTCTGTCAACTGCCTCAGCCACGTGTCGTGTCCCTGCCTAGTGAGGACTCACCGGAAATCTGGGCACCTGAAAATGTGTCCCCAAAGAGGGGTGAGATTACAAATCTCAATAAGCTCCAGGTTTATAGAGAATTCTCCATACCCCTGGCTCACTCCTGCATGAAAGTCAGATACAGAGTATACAAATACAACATATAACAGATATCATAACAGAACAGAGCATATATCCATATCATATCAGAGATGTGCGCCGTCATTCCCAAGGGAGGACCCCAAGCGGAAATCAACGCACGTGTTCCCGAGGGAGGACCCCAAAGCGGAACCAGACATATCAGAGGAGTACACCATCAGTCCCGAGGGAGGACCCCAAAGCGGACGTCCGGGTACTATACAATCAATGGCCAGAGATTGTTACAGAAATCATATTACAGAAGTCATATTAGAGCAAAACATATCATGTTATCAAATAACTCTATATGAATGCATCTATACAAAGCATCTAAATCACAGCCATACAGTCCAACCATAGTTCACTAACCATGGTGGAGCACTCAAGCAGGAAAAGACTCCTTAAACATAGAGCTTACCTCTTGAAGCTTTACCAATACGCTTACTTGTGGAACAAGTTACTTTTATCGCTTCAAGAGATTTCCGATTCTTCTCAATCCCTAGGCACACCTAGAGAATAATTTACAATGCATCAATAAAATGATGCAATACCATAATTATTTCATAAGCATACATTTTATCGCTTATTTTCCTTTCTTTGCATTTTTGCCAATCCTATGCCAATACACAAGTCTAGACCTCTTTATAACCGTTGGTGTTCTTTAATTTAATCAACCATTCCCTTAGGAATTTTCAACATAAATCATGCTATTTTTCTTCAAAACTCATCACCTTTATACAATTTGTTACAACACATTTTATTTACAATAAAATGAACAAAATATGTCCCTAAATACCCTATAGGTCGAATCCTACAAGGGGAATTTCCAAAGATCCTTCTCTTTTACAATGCATTTTCGTTACTTCATTACAACTTGCAAACACCTAGGAATGCTTCCACTAAATTCCTATTTTGAGTTTAGACACCAAGTCCTTTTTACTTAGGCATTCTTACTAACTCATCCATTTTCACTCATTTCCAACACACTATACCTTCACAATACATAATATAATTTTTTTCCACAATAACTCCTACTCACTCCATGATGGCCGAAACCTAGGAGGAATATGCAATAGGACTTTTAAATTTTTATATCACATGTGGATGCTTACTCAACACTATAACTTCCTAAACAACAATAATCCATCATAAATTTCACATTCTAACATCAATTATTTCCCAACAAAATATGCTCATCAATTTCATAACTTAAATCATCAAAATAATATCATGGAAATAGAGGTTTCTTACCTCTAAACACTTGTACAAAGCCTAGAGAGCAATCTCCAAGCCAAGCTCCATCCAAAAACTCACTTTTTCTCCTCCAATGAATAGTAACTCGAAAATGAGAGGAGGAATAACTCTTCACACACTCAACTATAGCTCAAATGGATAGGTGGAATGGATTCATTGAGTGGTTTCCAATCAATTTCATGTGGTGGGTCATTGGATTTGGTGGATGGATGATGAAGAAATCAAAGAAGGAAAATTTGAAACCCTAGCCCCTTCCCCTCCATGTGCAGCTCGGCCATGCAAGAGAGAGAAGAAGAAAATCTGAAATGAATAGTGTTTCATTTAAGTGACAAGGCTATATAGGCACATGTGGCCATTTTCATCGGATGTTTTTTTATCGCGTATTTTAACTTAAATTGACCCGGAACTAACTCAAAGCTACAAACATATTTTTTTATTTCCTAAAATCATTTACATTAATTTTTTTATTTCCTAAGGAACAATATTCATAATTCACAGTATGGTTTTTGCACCGTTTTTGACGAAATGCACTGGGCATCACTAATTGTACTTCCTTTACTTACGAAACTTAAAACTTATAAACTTATCATTTTCTTGGGCCTATATTGACTTGCTTGGCATATATTGGACTTTCTTATTCTTATTTCATCAATTATTTATTTCTGGACTCTACCGGTTGCTTAAACAGCAGTACAAAATACCCGGTAGAAACACTATTCACGAGATTTTCACGGAAAGTGCCAGACTATACAATTTTTCGTTCTGAACTCATATTTGTCATCAGAATTTTCAAATTATGTTCCTAAAATTATTTTGCTCATTTTAAGCTCTACCGGTTAATTCACAAAACTGTAAATTCTCCGGCAGAACGCACTGTTCATAACATAGTCATGATTACAGTCAAAATACTCGAAATCGCTCACTGAATCTAATTATGGCATTTAAATCCTTAAATTAAATCTCTAACTAAGATTTACCAGTTAGGGTCATTATATAAGCCCTCATTTCAAAATATCAAGGTCCGTGTCTTTCCAATGCTTGGCCAAACAGTGGACCTTTTTATTTGCATCTCGTATTTTCTTGATCAGTAAAGGCTAGTGAAATGGTCATCATAACCTTGGCATCAGTGGTCTTGATCTTGGTTTTTGCTTGAGGGCCTTACCAAGGTAAGCCCTTGGATGCCCATTTTAAGACTTTCTATTTGTTTAGTGAGAAAATCTACCTTGTTTCTCTGTGAACCCTTGGACCTCAACCTCCAGTCATTCGACCTTCCTATAGTACCAACTATGCAACCCAATGATGAGAATAACGTGAAAATAAAGGAAACTGGACTCCAATTTAGTATTCACAATTATATTGAGATGCACTGCCTATTTAAATTTTTCTTGCTGTTGATATGATTTTACATGTGATGTTCATCATAGTTAAGTATTTTAGCAGCATAAGAAGTTGCAGTTCATGAATTCTAACCATATTACATTGTGCATGTGATGTGCGAACTGCTCCAGGAAAATCATCGAAGGTGTGTGATTTCCACTCAAGTTTTTATATTTGATGAATTATTATTTTGTATCTTTTAATATGTAAATTATTCACTCATTCTTCTGTAATATTGTTAATAATATCAATATAATTAAAATGTTAGCATCAATCACTTGGATGGTTAGGTTTTTCTATCAATTCTCTTTCCCCAGTCAATGAGTTATCTCTCAAAAAAATTTATTTTTTACAAGGCAATCAGTCCTTGAGTACTGATGAATGCAACAGAACATCCGTAGATCATTATCATGTATGCTTTAGTCTTCCTTGAAGATGACTTGGTTAGGAAATCCATGCAGATCCCAAAATTCTTCCTTATAGAGATGCTTGGGGAAGAACGTGTTACTAAGTTTACAATACAAGAAATACTCAACTCTACCATGGCTGATTATGCAAAAAAGGCAAGTCATTTTTATTGCTCCATGTGTGGCTGTCATGGATATAAACTTATTTCCATATTTGATGACCCAATACCAGGAAAACTTGGATGTGAAGGACAAGAAGGTAAGCACTACTCAAACAGAAGAAGAACTCAAACAATCATTCACACCTGGAAATGAATTTGGCTTCAATGTTATAATTGAGCCTGAAAATTCATAACTTCTAGATAACTTGTTATGATGGATCTAGTTGTTGAGCTTAACCATATTCACAGTTAATCGAGCAACAAGATTTGTCTCGCTCAATGATATACACAACTTAAAAGAGTTATTTTTAGATTAGGATTATTTTACATCAGTGTAAATTACATTCTCAATATTGGCAGTTGATCTCATTTATATCTAACAATTCTAATTTTATAATTACGTAAGCTATTAGATATAAGTGAATTAATAGTCAAGAATGAGAATAAATTTTTTTATTTTTATACCAAAGTAAGAATAACCTGTCATATTATTTTTATGGTCTCTTTGGTGTTCTCATAAAAATGGGCTGAAATATTCTGATGAGACTAGAAGGTAACACCAAACCGACTAAGGAGTGATATATTATACTGCCTTCGAGAATATACAGACTTTGAATTTCTTTTATTATATCCTTTTAATTGGCGACTTGTCAATGATGACCTTAGTTTTTTATGCTCTTGTGTGTTTGCGTTTTGCTCAATTTAATGTACCTGCATGATTTTGCTAACAGGATTTCCTCAGTGTACGATCAACATAATTACATGTCTTGTTAAGGGTAAAAACCTCATTCAATAACTTCAGACTAAATAGAAATAGCCAAGTTGTTGGGATTTTTGAATGTGAAGACAGAAGACAATTAAGCTCACACAAATAACATTTGAATGAGTACAGTCTCCTGTGCATATAGGATGAAAGTATGTAAACTTAAAAAAAATTCTCATATGATGGAATCACGAAGATTGGAAAATAGACCATAGAGGGAGTACTGCCGTAGATTTTTCACTTCATACCAAGAATTAAGAGCATCAAGATTCTTGTCAGTCCCTGAGAATGTCAACTGTATGCCTATGTTGCAGGCAGTCCCACCATTGTTTTGACACTTTGTGTTTGGCACTGCACAGTCTGTCTTGTTCAAGCAAACGTTTCCACCAGAACATGCATCACAACCGAAACTCTTCCAAAACAAGTTTTGAAGGGTTCCCTCTTGAAATTCAAGAACCTGTTAATCAATCAACATCCAAATTCAAAATTACATTCCTAGAGGTGGCCTTAAAGGAAATTGCATTCCTAGAGAAGCACAAGTTGATCATGTCAAATATGTTTACCAGAGTAAAACTAGTAATTGTGTGACTGTTGTCAGCAAACATAATTGGCAGTGACCTTGCTGCATATTTCTGTCCAGCAAATGCAACCATATATCCACCATTTTTGTCCTGATAAACTCACAAAATTAATAGAGAACAAACAACCAAATTTTGCAAAAGAATATGTGGCTGCAGGTAACAAAGCAGAAATAATTCTTCCAACGAAACCATGCATATTTTTAAAACTTTCTAACTTACTCCAAGGAATATTGTATACCAGTTGGTAGCCGCCTAAATTACAAAAATGTCTTAAGTTTTTCCTTGCTATTATTAACAAGTGAAAATTTGATTAGCTAGTATACAGTCTTAATTATAAGGATGTGTCATCAATTAGACTAAACACAAATTCCAAACCCACAAAAGCTATTTGATACAATTATATATCATGCCATAATATATCTTTTGTCCTTACCTAATGTAATGCCCCAAAGCTGACATAATGCAATTAACAGAGCAAATGATAATAAAGGGAACATAAAAAGAAGTGTAAAGCCAAACATATCATTCTCATCAAACTGAGTCATGCTAAGAACATCTCCTATCCGTTGCAATATACACAAAGCATTCGATTTTGAATCATGAAAACATATAATTGCATACCGAGGAGATACTCCTGTTAATGGTAAGTAGGGAGATCTCATCGACCTTTGGCCTAAAAACAGCAAGTTGTGCTCCTTTGTTTGAGAGGTCGAGGCGTTGGTCACAAGGTGAAAGCTGTGGACCATTATCTTGGAAGAAAGATTGTTTGTCTGAAAATGCAATACCAAAGGTAAAACCATCTCCTCTTTGAACTTTAGCATCAAGACATGGACCATAAACATCATTTGTATCAGCTGCATCTGCAACAAACATAGCTATCACTGCAGTGATCAACACCCGTTTCACGAAATCTGCTTTCCTCATCTTGTACATGGCAAAAACTTCTTCATCCAACCCCATCTTCAACAGGGTCATCATTTTCTGAGCAAAACCAGAAGTGAAGAATAAAACTAGTTATATAATATTCACACACCAAAAGGAAAAAAAAAAAAAAAAAAATCATTTTTTTGGGTCAACCTGTATGTATGACAGAAAAGAACAATTTTTGCGGTGATAGAAACAAAGTGGTGTTAATGTTAAGATTTCATTAAGAAAAAGTGTAATATTCGTGAGTTTAGGATCTATAGGCGGCACATTAATCCAGGATATAATATGATAAATTAAACAAGAACAATGGAAAGATTCATTTAAATTAATTAAATGAATGCAAAAATAAAAATTACTTACAAAGCAAGGAACCGATCTCAATACCTCAAAAATCAAAATATAATATTAAAGAGATTCAAGTTGAGGGCTTGGCGTGTTTGTGATTCCAAGACATGGAAAAAGGTTAACTAATCCAGGAAGGATGGTGGCAACCTTGTTTCAGAAGCGGTTATGGAAGTTGGCTTTTACGAGATATTAAAAATTGGTATTCTGTTTGCCACAGGGAAATGCCAATTTCTCGGGAGAAAACCAGAACAAGTATTACCTGTTCTAACAACAAGATAATTTACTAAGAGGAAACATAAATTTAGAGAAAGCGAAAAGGGTTTCCTTTTATTTTTTTTTCTTTCAAATTGGCCTAAAAATGCATTAAATATTTTTTTTAATGTATACTTTAATTTTGAAAAATAAAATTACATTTATGAGGACCTTAACATAGACAAAGACCTTGAGTTAGAATTATATGTTAACAACTCGGCAAAACAAACATACATATTTTCGTCATTTTAAATGTGAATGATTAAATGAGACGGACCAATCAATGTGTATCATCGTCTATTGTCAGATTGAATGAATTTTACTTTTTGTTATTAGTTTATTTTCTTCCTTTATTTTTGCTTTCGTGTGTTCCTGAAAAATATACCCTCCTACACAAATATAAAAATCTCGTCGATTATTTTTTTTTTAATTGGTGGGTTCACAAATTTTTGTTTCAGCAGGGGAGAGAAAAGTTTCAGAAACTTAATTATACCCCTTAAAAAATATATAAAGAAAAATTCAAAAAAATCTCATTTGGTATTGCTTTGAATCACTTATACTCATATACTTTTTTTTAATCACTTAATCCCGTATTATTTTTTTCATCCACACCCCTCATTAACACTATTAGAAAATTAACTAAGTATACATATTCTACCATTCTTAGAAGAAGAAAATAAAGTGATAAAAAAGAAGAAAAAAATAAGATAAAATGTTATAAAAAATTAGAACACTTAATAAAAGAAAAGAAAAAAATGGTAAAAAAAAAATCAAACGTGTCTAAATAAAAAAAATGTATAAAAAAAGAAAAAAGAATAAGAAAAGAATAGAAGAAAAAGAAATCACATTTATAAATTTTAAATATATTTACTTTTACTTTTTTCTATATTTTTTGCCCTTAGTCTATTTGTTCTTTTTATTTAGATATGTTTGGTCTTTTTTTATATCTCTATTTTATTCTCTCTTTTCTTTTTAACATTTTTTTTTTACGAAATTTTTTAGTAAATGGGGTGGCACACAAAGAAGAAAATCAGAATAAAATAGACCAAAAAATGAAAAAAAAAATAGAAAAAAATCAAACATATCTAAATGAAAAAGAATAAAATAGACCAAGGACAAAAAAAAATTAAACTAAATATATTCGAAACTCATACATAACTGTGATTTCTTTTAATTCTATTTGTTTTTCATTTTATTTTATCTTAATTTTTCCTTTTAGTTTTTTGTCTTTAATGTTTTTTTTTTCATTTGGTCTATTTTCATTTTTATTTTATGTTAGTCTTCTCTACTATTGTGTTTTTTAATATATTTGGTCTCCATATTTAGTCGACTAAATCTCTCAACAGACAACAAAGGAAAACAAGTCAGTATGATTTTTTAATCGATTAAGTAGGGAGATTTAGTCGATTAAATCTCCAACAACCATTTAGTCGATTAAAAATGCAAGGTAGTCGATTAAAGAAGGACAAATTGATAGATAGTTTCAAATCAGGGACAAAATGGTTATTAATTAATTAATGAGGGGTAAAATGGTCAAATAGCCACTTACATTCATATACTTTTTTTAATCACTTATCCCGTATGGTTTTTTTCATCCACACTCCTCCTTAACACTATTAGAAAATTAACTAAGTATACATATTCTACCCTTCATAGAAGAAAAAATAAAGTGATAAAAAAGAAGAAAAAAATAAGACCAAATGTAATAAAAAATTAGAACACTTAATAAAAGGAAAGAAAAAAATGGTAAAAAAAATCAAATGTGTCTAAATAAAAAAACGTATAAAAAAGAGAAAAAAGAAAAAGAATAGAATAGAATAGAAGAAAAAGAAATCACATTTATAAATTTTAAATATATTTACTTTTACTTTTTTCTATATTTTTTGTCCTTGGTCTGTTTATTCTTTTTATTTAGATATGTTTGATCTTTTTTTATATATCTATTTTATTCTCTCTTTTCTTTTTAATTTTTTTTTACGAAATTTTTAGTAAATGGGGTGGCACAAAGAAGAAAATCCGAATAAAATAGACCAAAAAATGAAAAAAAAAAAATAGAAAAAAAAATCAAACATATCTAAATGAAAAAGAATAAATAGACCAAGGACAAAAAAAAAGAAGAAAGAAAAAATTAAACTAAATACATTTGAAACTCATAAATAACTGTGATTTATTTTAATTCTATTTATTTTTCCTTTTATTTTATCTTAATTTTTTCTTTTAGTTTTTTGTCTTTAGTATTTTTTTTTTATTTGGACTATTTTCATTTTCATTTTATTTTAGTCTTCTATGTTACTGTTGTGATTTTTAATATATTTGGTCTTATTTTTTCTTCAATTTTTTTAGATAAATCACATGTATCCTCCACGGGAAGTAATCCTGTTCGGGACAGTTCAAAATTAAAGTTTTAAACCTCTCCCAAAAATAGTATTGAGGAAGATCGAAAATATTCTCTAATCATCACATGCTCAACTCACATGTGCCAACTGAATTATCATCAATTCATTTCTTCTATTTTATTCTATTTTCTTTTGACACATTTAATTTTGTTTACTATTTTTTTCTTTTAGTCTTTTATTAAGCGTTCTAAATTTTCATAACAATAGATTTTCTTTTTCTTTTTTTATCACTTTATTTTTTCCTATGGGTAGAATAGGTATATTTAATTAATTTTCTAACGGTTTTAATTGAGAAAACCACTTGAGATTAAGTGATTAAAAGAAAAAGTACAAGAAAATAAGTGATTCAAACCAATACCACATAGGATTTTTTGAACTTTTCCCAAATATATATAAATGTGACTTAAAAGCTTACATAAATATTATCTTTATTTTTTGCTTTCTTATTTATTGATTTATTCACTAGTTAACATAAATTTAAGGACAGACAATAATTCAGTCTTAATTGAGAACAAGTATTAATTCATGATTTTATTTTATGTAATATCAACTAAAGAAAAATACATGATTCTGTGCAATGAGGTGGAAGTGATAAGTTTTTTCTATATATAGTAGGGGTTTGAACGTGAAACAAAAGTGATAAGCTTATTTCCTTCCTTTATTTTTGCTTTCGTGTGTTCCTGAAAAACATACCCTCCTACACAAACATAAAATATCTCGTCGATTAATTTTTTTTAAATGGTGGGCCTACAAATTTTTCTTTCAGCTAGAGGGAGAAAAGTTTCAGAAACTTAATTATACCCCTTAAAAAATATATAAGGAAAAATTCAAAAAAAATCTCATTTGGTATTGCTTTGAATCACTTACACTCATATACTTTTTTAATCACTTAACCTTGTATGGTTTTTTTCATTCACATTCCTCCTTAAGACTATTAGAAAATTAACTAAGTACACATATTCTACCCTTCTTAGAAGAAAAAAATAAGACCAAATGTTGTAAAAAATTAGAACACTTAATAAAAGAAAAGAAAAAAATGGTAAAAAAAATCAAATGTGTCTAAATAAATAAAAAATGTATAAAAAAAGAGAAAAGAATAGAAGAAAAAGAGATCACATTTATAAATTTTCAATATATTTACTTTTACTTTTTTCAATATTTTTTGTGCTTGATCTATTTATTTAGATATTTTTGGTCTTTTTTTATATCTCTATTTTATTCTCTCTTTTCTTTTTAATTTTTTTTTTACAAAAATTTTTAGTAAATGGGGTGGCACAAAGAAGAAAATCCGAATAAAATAGACCAAAAAAAGAAAAAAAGAAAAAAAAATCAAACATATTTAAATGAAAAAGAATAAAATAGACCTAGGACTAAAAAAGAAAAAGAAAAAATTAAACTAAATATATTTGAAACTCATATATAACTGTGATTTCTTTTAATTCTATTTATTTTTCATTTTAATTTTTCTTAATTTTTTCTTTTAGTTTTTTGTCTTTAGTATGTTTTTTTTTCATTTGGACTATTTTCATTTTTATTTTATTTTAGTGTTCTCTGTTATTGTTGTGATTTTTAATATATTTGATCTTATTTTTTCTTCTATTTTTTTCTGAATAAAACACATGTATCCCCCACGGGAAGAAATCGTGTTCGGAACGGGTCGAGAATTAAAGCTTTAAACCTCTTCCAAATATAGTATTGAGAAAAATCAAAAATATGCTCTAATCATCACATGCTCAATCTCATGCGCCAACTGAATTATCATCAATTAATTTTTTATATTTTTTTGTTCTTATTCTATTTTATTTTATTTTATTTTGACACATTTAATTTTGTGTACTATTTTTTTCTTTTAATCTTTTATTAAGCGTTCTAAATTTTAATAACACTTGATTTTATTTTTCTTTTTTTATCACTTTATTTTTTTCTAAGGGTAGAATAGGTACATTTAATTAATTTTCTAACGGCTTTAATGGAGAAAACCACGTGAGATTAAGTGATTAAAAGAAAAAGTACAAGGGTACAAGTGATTAAAGCAATACCACATAGGATTTTTTGAACTTTTTCCAAACATATATAAATGTGACTTAAAAGCTTACATAAATATTTTTATTTTTTTTCTTTCAAATTGGCCTAAAAATGCATTAAATATTTTTTATTGTATACTTTAATTTTGAAAAATAAAATTACATGTATGAGGACCTTAACATAGACAAAGACCTTGAGTTAGAATTATATGTTAACAACTCGGCAAAACAAACATACATATTTTCGTCATTTCAAATGTGAATGATTAAATGAGACGGACCAATCAATGTGTATCATCGTCTATTGTCAGATTGAATGAATTTTACTTCTTGTTATTAGTTTCTTTTCTTTCTTTATTTTTGCTTTGGTGTATTAAAAAAATATAAATATGTGCCTTAAAAGTTTACATAAATATCTTTCTTTATTTTTTGCTTTCTTATTTATTGATTTATTCACTAGTTAATATAAATTTAAGGAAAGACAATAATTCAGTCTTAATTGAGAACAAGTATTAATTCATGATTTTATTTTATGTAATATCAACTAAAGAAAAATACATGATTCTGTGCAATGAGTTAGAACTTGGAAGTGATAAGTTTTTTCTATATATAGTAGGGGTTCGTTCAAACGTGAAACAAAAGTGGAAACCTAGAAGGAACTACTACATAGGTTACCATTACCACATTTTTGTGTGTGGACCAGTGGCTTGCATGCCACATTCATGATTCCACAATTCTATCTCCATCTATGATATCCTCTGTTACATTGATCTCTATGGCAATGATAAACTCTTCGTTTCAAACTCAAATACTGTACTCTTACAAGGAAACAACCAGGCCAGTTGAGCAGATGAATGATCAACAGGACAAGCCTTCCTTCTTTACTATCATCAAGGAAGGCCTCAACACCAAGACCATGGTGATTGTTTTGTTTATATTTTACTCCCATTTATTTCATGCTACTTTTCTAGCGAGAAATACTAGCCTTTCTTTTTTCTTTTTTTTTTCTTTTTTTTTTGATAACAATACTAGCCTTTCTTTGGATGATGAGAAACTTGAACAAAAGAAGGATTTTTAACATTAGCATTCTTGTTATATATACATGTTCTGTTTTTTTAATATAGCTTCTGGTGAAGCTACTACCATGGGCTTTTTTCCATAATCTACCCGAGTTCTTCATCAGCATTCTTGTTGATTATCAGGGTTTTGGTCTATAGGGTACAAAATGAATCTTGCTTCCTTAACCACACACAAAGGAGGTAGCTTTTATGGTCATGAACTCAGTTGTTTGTGCTATGAACCATACTACATGAACCATCCCATTTGCCTTCACTTCTGCATGTTGTGGGTAGTAGAACTAGAAAATGAACTTGTCAGTTTTTGCTATTCATCAAAGAAAGAAAATATCTACTTACTTTATGAATAAAAGAAAAGGAATGAAAAGATCTCGTGATTAAGCAATGGGACCTCTATAACATGAATAGTTATATTATCATATTTTCCTTCCAGAAAAACACTAAATGCTCTTGGTTGGTATGGATTACAGATGAAGAACTGAGGTTGCATCAGTGAGTAGAGTTTTTGAAAACCATATATTTTATCCGTGTATATTTGGTATCAGAGAGGCTGGCCATGGACCGGTGTGTATAGCGGAGACGCTGAATTTTCAGTGGGGGAGGATGTAATGTCCCACATCGGTTGTAGAGGGGAACGAAGCATGCCTTATATAAGGGTGTGGATACCTCTTCTAGTGTGAGGCCTTTTGTGGGGTGTCCCAAGAAACAAAACCGTGAGCTCGACGGTGCTTGTGCGCGGGGCAAAGCGGACAATATCATGCTACAGGGTTTGGGGCTTACATTTGGTATCAGAGCCTCGCCGCCCCCCACTTTCTCTTGTGGCGTTTCTTAGCACAGGTAGGCTGGGCCTGTTGCATTGTTCACTCTTCAAGCCCAATGGGCTCTCGTGTGAGGGAGCGTGTTGAGATATATAGTCCCACATTGGTTGTATGTGCAACTAATGTGGAGTTGGGCTCTTGCGTGAGGGGACGTGTTGAGATATATAGTCCCACATTAATTGTATGTGCAACTAATGTGGAGTTTATAAGACCTTGGGCACTCCCACCCCTTGAGCTAGCTTTTAGGGTGGTGTATCCCAAGGTTCTTTACATTAGTGTACATGTTTAAACCCCCGCAAGTACCCATTTTTCCTGTCTTTGCCATATGTGGAATGGCATTTGCAGAATATGATTATATACATAATACATTTATGCCCATTCAATTTGTAACTCAACCTGTAGATTAGTGGTTATGCATTAAAAACAAAACTTTGAAAAAGTCACTTGTTTCCTAACTATATTACTGTGGGGCTGGGGCATCACTTTCAAACTCTACAGCTTTATATTTCTTGACAATAGTTTTGTCCTTAAAATGCATGAGGAAGCCTAAGTAATGCATCATTTAGCATTTACTTAAATATTTCCGGTATTATGTAGCACAAGTCTGCAAGGAATGCCTTCGATTGTGTAATAGCTCAAGCTGTGTCCTTATCACCACTTTGGCAATCATGTTTATTAATTATTATGGCATGTATGCTGGTTTCAAGCCTAGTGTTGTTTGCAGAGAGTCCCACCGAAGTTTCTAAAGTATTTGGATGAAGACTTCTCCAGTAAAGCAATTCTTATAGGCCCTTCTAGTGACCTATGGCAAGTAACTATTTATGAGAAAGGAAATGACATATATATTCAACATGGTTGGCCACAATTTCTGAGAGACAACTTGGTAATGCATGATGAGTTTTTGCTGTTTACATATGATGGAGGGAACTATTTCCGGGTGCAAATTTTTGGTAAGAATGGATGTGAGAGTCTACACTTCAAAAAAATAAGACAAGAAGAAGTTGTCATCCCGAGGAAAGAGAAGGGTTGGCCAGAAATAACTTCTGCTGGTTCTTTACACCTCCATGAAACTAAGCCTTGTCAAGAAGGTAAATATGCTGTCTAACACATAATACATGCATGTATACAAAAATATGTGGTTACAAGTTATTACAACCTATGACTGACAATTTTAATTTGACAAAATTGTTTTGAAATGAAGAACATGTAAAGAGCATCAAGGATTTGGCCTTGTATTCCTTCATTACTCTCCAACTCCTAAAAAATGTTTCATTTCTTAAATTTTTGTTTCATGTATGTAAAACAGAACTGCTTCTGGGCAACGAAGGCTCAGTTCCTGAGAAGTACTTTTTAAAGCCTCATATTTCAACTGAACTTGAAACATCAGATGCTTACAAATTGGCCGAGTCTTTTACCTCTGACAATCCTTATTTGAAGCACCACTTGACAAAATCTAACGTGAAAAATTGTTGCATATTGGTAAGTATGAAATTTGATGAGCCTTAGTATCACAGGTACATATTGAGTGACATGCTTATTTACATGTAAAAATTTTATGTTAATATTAATATCTACGAGAGTTTTCATTCTGAATGAAGAATGATCTAACCTAAGTTGGGGTTATCATGCATGCAGCCTATCGCTACCAAGTTTGCCAGAAAGTATATTCCTGAAGTCATAGAAGAGATCATCCTTCAGAATTTGGAAGGAAAATATTGGAGAGTGACTGTGGCTTTTAATGGCACTCCAAGTCAAAGGTATACTCAATTTACAAAAGGATGGGCAAAATTCGTTCGTGATAACAAGCTCAAGAAAGGTGACATTTGCATATTTGAACTTGAACGCATAAACCATATGAGGGTTCACTTTTTTAGAAGTGCACCAAATTAGTTTGAATCCAGTGTCTGCCAAAGCTGAGCCTTATTTGATTTATGTCATGTTATTGATCTCAGCTCGTAGGAACTATATATTACAGTATGGTGTGTATTCTTAGAAGCACTCTTAAACATTACCATTTATCTTTAAGCATTTAGCTTTAGCTTTTACTCTACTACTAAAATTTGGCTGATATATATTATAAAGGCCTAATAGAAGATCAACAAACCTGAGCTTATGTACTGTCTATTTCAATTAATATTTCGTTGTGTTCTTCTAACAAACAAATCCGTCTTTCTTGAGCCTCGAGTTCTGTCAATTGCTGTCTTAAAGAATTACACTACTATTACAATACAACTTGACAAAATATATAGTGTATACTGTAAAAAAATTCGAACGTGTAACTTTCCAATTACAAAGGAGTAATTATTATTATTATTTTTTAAATTTCTCAATTGGTTTATCGATTAATCAACTAATCTGGTTAAGTCGCGGAAGACCAAGGGTGGCAAAGCTCTTCTTACCAAGTTTTAACACAGCTGCATATTCAAAATTCAAACTCAAGATCACTAGTTAAGCTGGAACATCCTCTTACCAGTGGATCCACATGTTCGATGATTTGGCTACCTTTATTTAATTAAAATGCTGAATATATCATCAAATTTCTTGCATTTATAATTAAAATGAATTTTTATTGGAATCTCTAGTAATGCATTAGATTAGCTTCAACTTACTATTATTATAATTGTATGAAACTTTTTTCCATTTTCATAACATTGCTTTTGCGTTCATCCCCTTTTCTGTTGTTATCTTATCTACTAATTTTAAACAGAGCAACACTGACATGATTAAAAGTAGTGTATAAAAATACTATCTTCGATCATCCTCAGAGCCCTTGGTAAAGAACTTATTCTCAGGCCTACATGATTATGTAACTTAAGTTGCTCCCTGTCATGTTTTGATGTGCATATTTAAAAAAATATTAAATTCAAAACGTACTTCTTTATTCAAATGTCTGCTGGGAAATGTGTTATACATTGCCACATTCTCCTAACACAATCTAAATACCAAATACAGAATAATCTATATTCTGCATAGATGAGATAATTTTCCTCAAATCATTGAAGAGATCATCCTTCAGAACTCAGAAGGATAACCTCGAGAAGTGACTTGAATTTAACGATAAAAAACAAAGTTGTACCATGTTATCCTAAGAATGGGTAGCCTTAGCACCTGATAACAAGATCAAGATTGGTGACATATGCTCATTTGAACTTGTAGCCAGAAACCAAATATTAGGGTCCACATCTGTGTAATATAGCTTGAATCCATAAAGTATGACAAAGGCTGAGAGTGATATGTCATCTTTCTCATGCTATAGTGAGTTCTGCATGTAGAAGTTGTATTAGACAATTGGGTATTTTCTCCAATGTAACATAACATTATTTATCATTAAGTAACTAGTTGTACTCTTTTTTTTGTTCAAATAACTAATTGGACTTCACCTATATTCCAAAGGACAGTCCAAAAGCTTGAGGAATATATAAGGCATGTTCTCTCTATATAGTTTCTTTGTGCCTACACTTGTAGGATGAGTAGTTTAATTATATATATGGTAATTTGATTTTTCATTAAGTGCACCTTCTGGACTATAGACTTTTGATATAACTTTTTCCATGTGCTTGCCAATTGCTACTTATGGAGATGGTTCAATGGGGAAATATCAGACTATTCAGAGAAGCATCCCTCAAAAAAAGAAAAGAGAAAACCAGGAGTGAAAGGATTTTAACAATATATAAAAGGAAATGGAATTCCTTTCTTCCTGCTCCATCCTTTTCCATGTATTTTCGGTCTCTTCTACTAATTAACTACGGATGTCACCTTTAATTTTTTTGTGGTCCCCCATCAGATACCTTGTGTTGACACGTGTAAATTTTTTGCATTTCTTAACAGTCCATTTTTTTTTAATTATTATTATTTATTTATTTTTAAAAAAAATGATATGACATAGAAGAATGGAATAAAGTGTTACAAGATCTTCCTTTTGACAATTGGGGATCTCTATATATAAATATATAGCAATCGGGTAGGGAATCTCTTTTCTTGCAGAAACCCTTTTTTTTTCTGCCTTTTTTGGCTTTCTGTGAACTACTCCAACTTTCATTAAGCCTTAAACTAAGTTGGCTTAATCAAAACAGGTTATCATTTCGAAAAAAAAAATAAAAGGAAAAAGATAATAGATATTTTTTAAACAGATTATTATAACAGTAAAAAAAAGATATATATATATATATATGTGTGTGTGTGTTAATTTTCTAATGTACTTTAGTTTTCACATTGAATAAGTAAAAACAATGATAAATATTCATTTCATATACTAGTATCACATCAAATAAATAAAATAGTAGGGTAAATTTTGGTTATAAATTGAGGCCAAAACTCCAATTGATCTATTTATCTCGCGTGTTATATAAAAAATATTTCACCACCTTTGTCATGTGGCAAAAACCTTATTGAATTCTCTTAAATGATTTATTGCTTTTATATGAGAAATTAAATTGATTTATTTTTCAATTTAATGAGATATGACTCTATTGTTAACACAAATTGATGGAAATGAGAATTTAATTGCACTTAATTTTTTACTTAATGACAAGATGATTATTTAAAGTGAGTAACTATATTATATGAAAAAGAAAAACCCAAAAATAATAATTTTGGAGGAAAATGAAGGGCATTTTGGAAAGTTTGGTTCTCTATTACAACATAAATTTCTTAAATGGCCTTTCATTTTTTTTCCCAAACTCCAATACCACATCGTTTTATAGTTTGGGAAATAAAGTTAGTGTGCATATATTATATAGGATTTAGTCATTCTCTTTTCACAATAAATAATCTTATTATGCTTTGATTGATAAAAATCACATTTTATGTTAAATTATTGGATAGGATGTTGGGAAAACTCGGTTCCCTCAAGCTCGGCTCAGGGGCCTTTGCGGAAGTCAGTCAATGAGATCCTCGATCTCAGATCTCGACAATACCTCAGCCTGAATTTCACCAGGTCGGGCAGCGCAGCGGAAAAATCAAAACGAAAAATCACAAAACAAGAGAAAGAAGAAGAACACAACCAGATTTAACGTGGAAAAACCTTCTTCAATGAAGAAGTGAAAATCCACGGGACCTAGTCCAGATCAAAAATCTACTATGAAAATAATGGTTACAAAAAATCAAATACACCAATGTGGTGGTTTCACTCAAACTCTCTCTGGAGATCTCTCAAATGCAAAACATAAAGCTTTGCTCAAATCTATCAAATAATTCTCTCAAATTTTTCTCTCTAATCTGTATACCGTTTCGCATAAGTAGTAAAGTAGTAATAAAGATCGTCTCCTCAAGGATTGAAAACCAAGTACTAAAATAATCAGTCACTTTAAGTTGAAAAACTTGATCTCTTGTTGGAAAAATTAAATTGAATCTTAGTAACCATAAAAGTAAAGGCTTATTTTTGAGTTTTTGTATTTTCAAGAATGAAAAGAAGAATAATAATGGAGTTGGTTTTGAAAATATGAGAAAGAATTGCAGTTAGGGAACACTCTCCCTATGATCTCCACTTATTACTTTGGATTGATACAAAATACTTATTTATATAATTTCTCAGATAATTATGATCTCAATATATTAATAGTTAAATCTCAATCCCTTGGTAACTTAACCCTTTAACCTCACTTAGAATCCTAATCCCTTAGTAACACCTCATGAAAATTAAGCAATGAACACAATAATTCCAACATCTGCAATTAAATATACATCTATCCCTAGTATGCATACCAATAGTTATCTTATCTCCTTTCAAGATCAGAAACCCCAATATCCCTATTTAAGGTTCTAACCCTCAAACTATTTTCAACTATCAAATTGATCAGGTTTAATAAAGAAAATATCAAATACGCACAAGGTAAGATAAATAAATTTATATAAACGAGTAAAATAATGTAAATCAATCTGTCATAACAAGGGTTCACATAGGGTTTATGACCCTAACTACAATAAAAGAACTTAGCCAGACATAGTCATATCTGTCATAAACAAATATTCAAAAGAAAGCATAAAAACTATAATTACTGGAAGGAATGGAGAAGAATTCTTGATCTTCAGTCCTCTACTGCTTGCTCCGAGTTGTGAATTGGTTACTTTGGTTGTGCTCCCAAGCTCCTTATTTATAACCACAAGAATTGAGCCCATTATCTAATCGTCCTTTTGAGTCCATCCAAGAATTTGTATTTGATTTAAACTTTGTTTCCTTTTTCATGTAAAAATCTTGGAGATTTGATTGATAAATTAGAATTTCAAATCTTTATTGTATCTTGATTCAATCTTCTCACAAATCATCTAGATTTGTTTCCGCTTTATATCCTTTTCGCATCTCTTTTAATCTTATCTCTAATTTGGAGAGAGATCTAATTGCTAAATATCCACACTTTATTTTTAAATCTTTTCCTTTTCCAAAATTGCCCCGTTGCAAAACACGGGATCTGAGAATTCGCAAACTGACGCTCTCAGCGTCAAATTCACGCTTCAAGCGTGAACGCTTCTGTCTGAAAAATTCCTTCCACGCTTCCAGCGTGAGATCCACGCTTTGAGCGTGGATTTTGATTTTTAAAAATCCTCGTTTTGCTCCAGTTTGTTTGCTTTTTCCTACAAAATTAGCATAAAATTAGTATTCAATCCTTGATTAAGATTTTGACAAATTAACAGTGATTCTTGCTCTTTTTCTCAAGATTTCATCAACATTCTTTCTCTTTTTTGGCTCAGATTTCTTATATGCTAAGTGCATATCAAACAATTCCCAGATTAGGACTTTGCTGTCCTCAGCAATGTAATATATTCAAGTTATCAGCAAAGAATAATTCAGTGAAAACATGGAACACAACATCTTAAGAATTCAGACTGCTATGCATGTATAACTCTTTGTTAAAAACTCCCAACAATGCTTTTCAGTTATATCAAGAATTAAA